TGGGGGCTGGGGGCCCCCAGAGGGTGGGTCGGGGGGGCTCCCAGGGGTGCCCGCCCTGACCTCCCGTCCTGCAGGCATTCTACTTCGAGCGGGACGACGTGGCGCTGCCCCGGCTGGGACGCTTCTTCCTGGCGCAGTCGCACGAGGAGCGAGAACACGCCGAGGGGCTGCTGCGCTTCCAGACGCGCCGCGGCGGCCGCGTGCTGCTGCAGGACGTCAAGGTGGGATGCCTGGGCTGTGTTTGGGGGGGGGGGGGATCAGGCTGCGTGGGGGTGTGTGGCTGTGTTGGGGTGTCTGGGCTGTGTTGGGGTACTTGGGCTGCTTGGGGGTGCCCGGGCTGAATGGGGGACGCGGCTGCATCGGTGTGCCTGGGCTGCACGGGGGGGGTGTGTGACTGTCCCTGTCCCCCTCCCCAGAAGCCGGAGCGTGATGCTTGGGGCTCGGCGCTGGAGGCGGTGGAGGCGGCGCTGCAGCTGGAGAAGTCGGTGAACCAGGCGCTGCTGGACCTGCACCGCCTGGCTGCTGAGAAGGGGGACCCGCACGTGAGTTGCCCTCTCCCTCCCTGCAGGGTCTGCCTCTCGAGATGCTGCTGGGGGGGGTCCCCATTCCTCTTCCCACACCCGTCCCTGGGGTCTGCCCCTGTGCTTGTCCTGGTCCCCTGCCCTTCCAGGGTCTCTGCCTGGACTTGCTGGCCTTGTCCCTGTGCCTCCCTTGGGATCTCTAGCTGTCCCTGGGGGTCCCTGCCCCTCCTGAGGCCTCTCCCACACCTCAGACCTCTGTCCCCTCCCTGTGGAGCTCCCCCAGCCCTGGCTGATGCCCCTCTCCCCACAGCTCTGCGACTTCCTCGAGTCCCACTACCTGGACGAGCAGGTGAAGGCCATCAAGGCGCTGGGAGACCACATCACCAACCTGCGGCGCCTGGCCGGGGGGCCGGAGGGGACCCCGAGCGGCCTTGGCGAGTACCTCTTCGACCGCCTCAGCCTGGAGGAACGCAGCTGAACCACCGCACGGGCGGCCCCCTGGGACCCCCCCCCTCCCAGGACTCTCCCCCCCAGACCCTGTAACCCCCCTGCCCCGTCCAAGGGGGCTCGCCTGTTGGGGGTCTCCTCCTCCAGCATGACTCCAATAAAGGGTCTGCCCTTGCCTCCCGTCTGTCTCCTTTGAACGCCCCCGCCGGGGTCCTGCTTCCCCTGCCCGGTGCTCTGAGGGGTGGCTTGGGGGGGTTGCGCCCGTTTTGGGGGATGGGGTGCCTGCTTGGCACACAGGTCGATCGCTGGGGTGACACGGGGATGGACAGACAGATGAGAGTCGGGGGGGGGGCCCTCCCCTGCAACCAGCACCCCTGGGAAAACACCACAGGGGGTGGGGTAAGGGGGCACAGCCCCCAAAGGCCCCCTCGTCCCAGGGCTGGGACACGGGACTCTGGGTGCCGGGGAAGGCTGTGCAGAGGCTGGGGGGGGGGGGCTCAGAGGGATGGCGATGTCTGCCAAGGGCCCTGCCGGGCAGCTCGGGGTGCACTCGGGGCTTTCGTGGGAGGCGATGGTGTCCCTGCACGGTTGGAATGGGAAAGCTGCATGCGGTGGCGCGGTGGGGAGCCGTGCTCTCCGGCCGCCAGGCTGCCCGGTCGGTGCAGGGAAGCGTCTGTTCTCCGCGGGGGCCTTGGGCACGACATGTTGGTTTGCGGTGCATGCTGGGACTTGTGGTTCTAAGTCCAGGGTTTCCAGTCAGCCATGCCACGCGCCGCGGCAAGCCGGGAGCTGCGGTTTGGGTGAGGGTGCCTGGATGCCGTCCCTTCCTCAGCCTCCAGGGACCGTGGGGGTGTCCCCAGCTTGTCTCTTCGGGACTCCTCCTACATCCCTAGTCGCATCCCAGAACTTTGTCTTCCCCCTTTGGACTCCACTAGTTCCTTCAAGACCACTCCTGAGGCCTCCCTCCCTCGTGCCCCACAGGCTTCTCCTAACTCCGTAGTCCACTTTGGACCTCTCTTGTCCCCTTGGAACCCCTCCTGAAGCCCCCTTCATGCCCCAGAGGACTCCTTTAGTCCTCTGCACCATCTAGGATGCCTCTGTTCAGCCTCTTGCCCACTGAGAATGTGCGTAGTCTGCTCAGATCTCCCTGGATATGCCACGGGGCACTCTGGAGGGCAGCAGAGCCCCTTGACGGTCCCACCAAAGCCCCGGGGTGCTCTGGAGGGCGGGTGTATTCCCCTGAGTTTACACTGTGTCCTGACACCTTCTCTGGTCTGTCTTGTGCCCTCAGGACTTCTCTACTCCTGTCACAATATGTCCCGAGACCCTTCTTGTGCTTCTCAGCACCCTTGCAGCTTTTTAGCTCCCAGTTCATCTCTCTTCTTCCCTCAGACACCTCCTTTGTCCCTCTGATGCTGTTGTGAGCTCTCTGCTCCTGTCACGATGCCTCCCGAGACCTTCCTTGTCCCCACAGCCCTCTTGCCTCTGTAGTGTGCTTTGGACCCCTCTAGCTCCACCAGAACAGCCATTCTGCTCCTCTATGCCATCCAAGATTTCCTCTTTTCAGTCCCTGTTACCCTGAGGACATTTCCACTCTGCTCAGATCCCCTCCTGAGTTCCTCTTTGTGTCCCCCAGTGTTCTTTGGTTTGTCCAGCCTCCTCAGGACCCATTTACTCCTTTTGTTGAGGTGTCCTGAGGCCTTAGAGGTTCTCCTCAGCATGCTTTTAGCCCTGGACTGAACTTTGGATACCTATCAGAATGTCTTCCCAGGCCATCTCTGTTCCTCAAAACAGTGTTTTTGTCTTCTGTCTAGGATGCCTCCAGTCGGTCCCAGCCCTCTTGACGACATCTGTGCTCTGTTCAAATGACCTCCTGAGCTCACCTTTGTGTCCCCAAGTCTTCTTTTGTCTCTCTGACCCTCTCAGGATCCCTCTCTTCCCATCACAATGTCTCCTGAGTCTTTCCTTGTGCTGCACAGCCATCTTTTAGCTCCAGCCTCCTTTGATCTCGCTCGTTTCCTCAAAACCTCTTCTCAGGCTTTCTTTGTGCCCCAGAGCACTCTTACCTCATCCTACATCATCTAGGATGCCTCCACGCAGTCCCGTGGCCCATCAGGACACCTGTACTCTCCTCAGATATGCCCTCCGTCTCCCCAGATTTCTCACTGGGTCTCCAACCCTTCTCTTGTCTCTCTGGCCCCCTCAGGACCACTCCACTCATGTCATGATGCCTCCTGAGGCTTTAGAGGTTGCCCTCAGCATACTTTGAGCTCCTTAGTGTGCTTTGGACCCTTGTTCTCTCAGAACTCTTCCCAAGTCCATCCCCATGACCGCGCTGGGTCTTTTTGTCCTCTCTTCCATCTAGCATGCCTCCATTTGGTCCCTGCACCTTGACAACATCTGTGCTCCTCTCAGATCCACTCTGGACTTCATCATTGTGTTCCTGAGCCTCTCTGTTGTAGGTTATCCCAGCTGAGCTATCTGCTGTGGATTATCCTGGGTGGACACCCTGGTGTAGCTCAACCCCAAGCATGTCCCCCCATGCATGGTTCTACATGCATACCTCCCCACCCCCCAAATGCCTTCTGCTGAAAGAGCTCACATGCAAGGTTTTTTTTCCCTGTGAGGCTTTTCCCCCCGCCCTCCTATCTCTGTCTCCCCCTGCCCCCTATTTTCCATGTTTTAAGGAGGTGAATTAGGCAGGCACAGGAAGTGAGCTGCTCCCCCCACATGTTGTGCCGAAAACAGTGTTTGTAACACAGTGATGTTTTTGTTATTGCTGAGCAGTGCTTGCACAGTCAAGGCCTTTTCTGCTTCTCACCCCACCAGAGGGTAGGGTGGGGGTGCACAAGAAGTTGGGAGGGGACACAGCTGGGACAGCTGACCTAAGGGATATTCCAGACCACATCACGTCATGCTCAGTATATAAAGCTAGGGGAAGAAGGAGGAAGGGGGAGACACGTGGAATGATGGCGGTTGTCTTCCCAAGTAACTGTTATATATGGTGGAGCATCTAATGAGGGGGGGGGCTGAGTGGGTGAGCAGCTGTGTGGTGTTTAGTTGCTGGCTGGGGTTAAACCATGACACAAGGCCTGCACAGGAAGCCTTGTGCGTATGCAGGATTAGGAGAGCAGAGTACTGATAGCACAAAGATGAGGACATGGCAAAAAAGCCCAAGGATCACCAGCCTACCGCTCATTTGCAGATCAGCCACTTGCAACTGGTCGGCTCGAACGTGCCGTTTCCTGTTAAACAGAGCTGCCCCTCTCGCACAGAGCAGCTTTCGGTCTCTTCTGGCCTGCCTTCGGCATGTCATCTGCATCGCCTTATTTTTTTTAAATCTCTCACCGGCATCTGTTGACTGGCTGCTGTCACTCCCACAACCCTGATGCCCCATGCAGACAGATACAGCCGTCCCTGGGGCTTGGTCCAGGGGACCACCCCCCCCAAGTTTGCAGGTTCCTTGTGCTTCTCCTCTCTAGATAATGGGGTGGGGGGGCAGGGACAGAAGCGACCGCCCGAATTGTCTGTTCTTTGCACTTGACTGCTGTAAACGCCCCAGCCGCTCGGGTTCTTTTTGGAACGGAGGCGATGAAGGTGACTGCCCGGGCTGCGAGTGGGGAGAGGGGAAGGAAACGTAAGCCCTGTGCCCCCAGTAAGCAGCTCCCGCCTGGGGCTGGTCTCTACTGGGCTGAGCTGTCCGTCATCCCTCACCCGGCGGATGCTCAGAAGACGATCGTTACGGGGATGCTGCCACCCGGCGGCCAAAGCGCGGTACTGCAGCC